AAGCCAAATCATACAAGAAATGTAAGTGTCTACCTTCAGAAGTTATTACTCCAAATATAAGATTGGTCTCCTTCTGTTTCGATTATTCAATCTGCATCATGATTCACTATCTCATCAGTAATAATATTTTGATATGAACATACAGGATTGCAGAGGCTTTTTTGAAAGCAGACGGTCACATTCAGATTGAAGGATCAGGAGGGAGGATGTTCACTCTCTCTACAGCCAATGAGGACATGGAGGCCTACACAAAGCTCACAGGTGTGTAGATTTAAATGTGTGCTGTTAGCTCATGTTTAACATTGAAACCAATTCAGACTACAGGAGTATCAAGACATTGTTTTAAATAATGCACTACACCCAACAATCTGAAAAGGAAATTGTGTGTAGGCACTTGGTCGTTTTGATGTTTGGCCAAGGACAAGGTTATCTGGTAGTTTGAGGAGTTCACAAATCCAGTCTCAAACATCCTGAACAACTGGCTGTCCTGATCATTTGAACTTGTTTGATATTTAGGATGTTTATTTATGAAGTAACAGAAATATGACATATTTCAACACTTTTTGGAAACACACTTTGTTAGATGCTGCTTTCTGTCAGATGGCTCTGTTGCTAGGTCATTTACAGTTATGCTACTTTATCATTTTTTTTATCGTGCATTTGTTAAAGATAAATAAACCACATCCTGTTAATTTACTTGTGATGACTTATAAATAACATGCCATGTCTTACAATTTATTGCGTGTGTTTAAATTAAATTCACTAATTTTGTGTGTGTTATTATCATTTGTTTGCTTGTTACTCTGTTACTCTTTTAGACAACGTGTTTGAGGAAATACTGAAGTCTTCCTGCTCAGAGCTAAAAAGGCAAGAGAGATTCTGCAAAACATCATCTCTCGAAAGAGCTACAAGTTTGTTGGTGAGACAAAGCCAAAGGACCCCATCCAGGATTGGGAAGTAAGTCTGTGTTCTTGTGTTTCATTACATTTATAACACATGATCTAATGCACTGTTATCACAAAGCTGGATAATTTTCATTTTCAGTTCATAGAATAAGTACACATCACATTATTTACTGTCTCCAGCATTTTATCTTGCCCGTGTTGTTATTACATTTAACATGAACAGCAACACTATTGAACAGTTCTCTTTTTGAAATGCAATGTGAATTGGATAGCAGCTTGAAATGTCTTACAATACAAAATCCCTCAGTCAACTAATGCTGCATGATATTGGGGAAACTGCGATAACCTTTGAGGTTCATACAATTACAATTTGTATTATCATTTGGGCCTTCAATTCTATTTTCTTTTTCAAATAAGAACCCCTTATATGTTCAAAGTGACTTTTAATTTGCATCAAGAGCCCTGTGACAGTAAAGAACAGTTCATCGTCACACACTGCATGTGATCCCTTCAACTCTACATCTTATGTGCACATAGACTCTGCCTGCACAGAAGTCACTTCTCTTTGTGATCAGGAAGAGGATCAGACAGACTGATGTTGTAGATCAGTCATGGAAAGAGAGAAACTGAAGGCTTTTTGTTTATTCAAAAGCAAAAATAACAAAAAATGGCATGAAATGATGCATTTCAGGACATATGATTGATATTATATATTCTGTAATGTTATCATAGCACTTGTACACATAGCAAAAATGATGCTTAAATCCTACCATGCAGCCCTACAGTCAAAAATATCTACACTAAGTTGGTGCAGTTTTTTGAGTGAATGTGAAATGAATTCCAAGTTGCTTACATTGTCAACTTAAAATGCAAAAAACCTTTTCTATCCTTTCGCACTCTTCTCAACTTTTCTGCTCCATTTTCAAGAGCCTGATTCCTAGCTGGAAAAAAGGACTGGCTGAGGGAGAAAGAAACCTGACACCAAAGGACTTTGAAATCCTGGTGAGTTTTTTGACTTTCTTTCATTTCACCTTTTTGTAAAATCTTGGGTTTTGCAGATTTTTTGATTTGTAAGATGTTGCAAAATTTGTTACTGCAGACATACTTTTACTCTCAACCTTCATTTTAGGTCATTGAAATGGACTATGGCATGGACGACAAGGACCCTATCCAACATGTTCATTTCTACAGCAAATCTGAGCTTGACAAGGCAAAGCCAATGCCCGAAGAAAAGGTAAGAACTAAATATTGATTAAAACATTTTTTATCGCAATATTTCTTCTGTTTATTGGGCTCCATTGTTTACACCCGTGAACAGCTGGTTGCGCTGTGCCAGCCTCGGTTACATCCAGCCGAAAGACCGGACATCCCCGCAGAACTACGGAGGAAGAGAAGGGGATGCAGAGCCGGAGTGAAGTGCCGGGAAAAGAAAAGACGGTACAAACCATCCGTGCCGTCTTTAATTATGGGGAATGTAAGATCTCTCCCTAATAAGATGGAGGAGCTGACGGCGCTCACCCGGCTTCAGAGGGAGTACCGAGAGTGTAGCATCATGCAGTTCACGGAGACATGGCTGAATGAACTCACTCCGGACACGCTCGTAACTTTGGACGGCTTCCACCTCGTCAGAGCGGACCGGAGCGCGAGGGAGAGCGGTAAGAAGAAAGGCGGGGGAATAGCGATGTATGTGAATGAGAGATGGTGTAACTCTGGGCACATCACCGTTAAAGAACAGCGCTGCACTAAGGATGTGGAGCTGCTGGCTGTAAGCATTCGGCCATATTACCTGCCGAGGGAGTTTTCACACGTCATCGCGGTGACTGTTTACATCCCCCCCTCGGCAGACGCTGCTGCAGCCTGTGAACTCATCCACAGTGTAGTGTCTCAGCTACAGACATCACACCCCCAGTCTCTTACTCTCATCTCAGGAGACTTTAACCACGTTTCCCTGTCTGCCACTCTCCCTACTTTCACTCAGTATGTTGACTGCCATACTAGGGACAATAAAACTTTGGACTTACTGTATGCAAACACCAAGGATGCATACAGATCATCACCCCTCCCCCCTCTGGGCCGCTCAGACCACAACCTGGTGAGACTGCAGCCCATTTACATACCTATGGTGAAAAAACAACCCCCCACAACCAGGTATGTGAAGAAGTGGTCTAAGGAGGCCACTGAGGCGCTGCAGGACTGCTTCGACACCACTGACTGGGAGGTGCTGTGCAGCCCACATGGGGAGGACATCGACGGTTTAACTCACTGCATCACAGATTACATAAACTTCTGTGTTGAGAACACTGTACCCACCAAAAAAATACAGTGTTTCTCCAACAACAAACCCTGGGTGACCCCTGAGCTGAAAACCCTGCTCAATGAAAAGAGAAGGGTTTTTAGATCTGGAGATAGAGAGGAGCTGAGGAGGGTGCAAAGGAGCTCAAGATAAAAATCAAGGAGGGGAAAGCCAGCTACGGGAAAAGATGGAGGAAGATTTACAACATAAAAATGCAAGAGAAGTCTGGAGGGGCCTGAATAACATCTCAGGTCACAGCAGAAGGCGTGGGAGGGGCCCTGAAGCAGGAGACAGGGAGTGGGCAAATGAACAGAATCTGTTCTTCAATAGATTTGATTCTGCTCCCAACCCCACCCCCACCCACCAGAGCGCAGACCAGCCCGCTTCTCCATCTGAGTACCCTGAGTACCCTGCCACCCCCCTCAACAGCCCTCTCCTTCTCCTCCTCCTCAGACGACCCCCCAACAACCCCCTCCTCTTCTTCATCCTCCTCCTCCGACGGCCTCTCCATAACAGCTGATCAGGTGAGAAGCCAGCTGAGGAAGATCAAGGCGAGGAAGGCCACAGGTCCCGACGGCATCAGCTCCAGACTCCTGAAGGACTGTGCAGACCAGCTCTGTGAGGTCCTTCTGCACATCTTCAACCTGAGACTGGAGAGGGTACCGACTCTGTGGAAGACTTCCTGCGTGGTGTCAGTCCCAAAGACATCTCACCCAGGGAGCCTAACCACTTCAGACCTGTGGCCCTCACCTCTCACCTGAAGAAGACCATGGAGAGAATCGTCCTCAACAACCTCCGCCCCCTGGTGACTTCAAATCTGGATCCTCTGCAGTTTGCCTACCAGCCGAACATCGGGGGGATGACGCCGTCATCTACCTGCTGCAGAGATCCTGGACTCACCTGGAGAACACCGGCAGCACTGTGAGGGTCATGTTCTTTGACTTCTCCAGTGCCTTCATCACCATCCAGCCTGCACTGCTCAGGGGGAAGCTAGAGAGGGCGGGAGTGGACTGTCACCTGGCTGCATGGACAACGGACTACCTCACCAACAGACCACAGTACGTGAGGCTTCAGGACTGTGAGTCTGACATGGTGGTCTGCAGTACAGGGGCCCCGCAGGGGACAGTTCTCTCCCCTTTTCTCTTCACCCTGTACACCTCGGACTTCTGTTACAACTCTGGGAGCTGCCACCTGCAGAAGTTCTCCGATGACACAGCCATCGTGGGGTGTGTGTCTAAGGGGAGCGAACAGGAGTACAGGCAGGTCATCATGGACTTTGTCGACTGGAGTGAGCTCAACCACCTTCAGCTCAACTCCAGCAAGACAAAGGAGATGGTGATTGACTTCCGCAGGAAGTCACCCCAGACTGCACCGGTGTACATCCAGGGCTTGGACATCGAGAGGGTGGAGACGTACAAATACCTGGGTGTTCACCTCAACAATAAACTGGACTGGTCACACAACACCGACATCCTGTACAAGAAGGGCCAATGTCGACTTCACCTGCTGAGACGACTGAGGTCCTTTGGAGTGTGCAGGACTCTGCTACGGACTTTTTATGACACTGTGGTGGCGTCTGCACTTTTCTATGCAGTGGTCTGCTGGGGAGGAGGGAGCATGGAGAGAGACAGAAAGAGACTGAACAGACTGGTCAGGAGGGCCAGTTCTGTCTTGGACTGTCCTCTGCACTCTGTAGAGGAGGTGGGTGAGAGGAGGATGTTAGTGAAGCTGACATCCATCATGGACAACCCCTCTCACCCCTTGCATGACACTGTGGGGGCCCTGAGCAGCTCCTTCAGCAGCAGACTGAGACACCCACCCTGCAAGACAGAGCGCTACCGCAGGTCGTTCATCCCATCTGCAGTCAGACTGTTTAATCAGACTCTTTAACAACATCACCACCTCATGCTACACACTGTGTGTGTGTTTTTTTAAGAGCAATCCCTTAATTACTGTGTAATTTTACATTATTGTATTTTTTATTTTATTTAAATGATGTAAATATGTTTGATTTGATTTTAACTTCTAGTTTTATTTTTAATAAGTATATTCCCGTCCCCTGTTTTCTGGAGCTGCTGTAATGCACAAATTTCCCCCACAGGGGATCAATAAAGTTTATCTTTATCTTTATCTTTATCTTTAAATTATTTGTAAGGCAGCTTATGTCACCACAACTCTCAAATTAAAGCTGCTGTCCTTCTTTACAGGGATCCAGGATTCACACAACATGCTTTTCTGAGCAGCTGATCAGGGTCTTCTGTAAGGAGATTGATGACGAGAGTGTGGAGGCTGCCAAAAAGCACTTTAAACAGTGGTACTATGATTTTCTAATCCTTTGATAATAGTTGAATCTTAAGATGTTAAAGGATACAATACATATCGACTAACTTGCTGTTGATTGAACATAAAACATCAAATATAAATTCAGACCAGTTGACTTGGCTAAAGTAAATAGAAAACAGTCAACATTGAGTACAGTTTATTTAACATGGTTGAACATGTGATCTACAGTCTCAAACAGACTTTTTTTGAATGGGTGTGTATGTGGCTTCCAGTGTTTCTCTAGCCAGCTTCAGGTGGGGTCTCCCCAAGAAAATGTTAAGCACCAAACATTTTTTTCCTGCATTCTCATCCTGATTTTGTCTCGTTTAAAGAAATGGAATAAAGATGTGCGCATGAGAGAGAGAGAGAGAGAGAGAGAGAGAGAGTAAAACCAGATATGCCTTGCTGATGGAAATAATTGATGGACCTCAGCCCCTTGTTTTGTCTCGCAGAATTTATGAAACCTTGTCAACAGTTTGCTAGTCCGTAGCCACGCTTTACAAGTCCATTGTACTGATTAGCAGACAGCATTTGATTTTTTTTAACTGAGCCTTCATGGGCTCCGTGCAACACAACAAAACTCCCTCTTTAAAAAGTTGATCTAGCATCTCAGTTATTACAACAGGTGAGCATGATGTGAAGGCCTGTTATCAAGATTCAGCAAAACCAAGAGAGAGCATCATCACATCGGCAGCAAGCAGCTTCACAAACATAATAAAACTAAGTCATGAGAAGCTTCAGTTTTGACATGTCAGGAGGGCTGGACCTCAGGTGCATTAACAGGAGGGAGGAACAAACAGCAGCCCTCTTTTTGTCTCTCTCTCTCTCGTGCGGACGGCAATTTTATGAATAATTAAAACATATAGTTTTAAAATATAGGCTACTTGGGCAGCTATACATGTACCTGGGAGCCCGAGTATTGTCTGTGTGGGAAATACTGACGCGAGTGCAGCGTAAGTGCAGTTTGTGAAGGAAAAAGGAGCAAGAGAATCGGCATCACGCAGACATGACATCGCAACTATGTGAGAATCGAGACTGGGATTCTTTCTGACCTGAGGGATCTTTTTTTGTTTTGTTGTGCTTCAGTTTGCACATGTCTTGGCTCCAAAAGAAGTCACCAGCACAAAATGTTGGCCGGTATTTTGTCTTTGCTCTTTATACAACAGACCAAAACTCATTGTCCATATTAATATATGCAGTTTGTGGTTTTATGACATTGAAAGGCTGTTTTAATATATGAGCATTAGAATGGAGCAATGAGCAGGGAGGGAATGATTGCATTGAACTTCAGGATACTGTTGCCTTTTCTTTGCTTTTATATGATTTTGATCCCTTTTTTGATGCCAAATTAATGTTGGTGTCTTCAAACTTTTGTATTTTAGTACCAAAAGACAAAAACTTTGAAAATATTTTTTTTTACTTAAGATTTTAAAAAACTGAAAATCCTCACCAGTAAGATGATGGATCTGCATGATGAGTGCATTGTTTTGCTTTAAAATAAGTTGAATGAGAGATCGTTTGTTAAATAGAATCATTTCTGCCTCAAACATTAGCTGTGCTCAGCCTTCAGTCTTCCTTTCAGGTTAAGGTGCTGGTTAAGCTCTACTCTAATTCTGCAAAACATTGTCTCTGGAAATATCTACAAGTTTGTTGGTGAGAGAAAGCCAGCGGACCCCATCGAGGATTGGGAAGTAAGTCTGTGTTCTTGTGTTTCATTACATTTATAACACATGATCTAATCACCTTAACCTAGTTATTGAAAAGGTTGTTGCTGAACAACTGGTAGCCCATCTTAATATTGAAAATCTACTGCACCCTATGCAATTTGGGTTTCGAGCAAACCATTCCACTGAAATGGCATGTTGCTACTTCCTTGAAGTCATTAAAGGTAGCCTTGATAAAGGAGGGGTGGTGGGTGCTGTATTTCTTGACCTGCGCAAGGCTTTCGATACAGTTAATCATTCAGTACACATCTCCAAATTGTCTAAATTTAAACTCTCTGCTAACGTTGTTAATTGGATTCAGTCTTACCTACTTGGTCGTACGGATAAATGATAAAATATCATCACTAAAAGCCTGCGTTATGGGAGTGCCACAAGGTTCCATCTTAGGACCGTTGTTGTTTAGTGCATACATCAATGATCTCCCATCTGTGTGTGATGATGTGGGGACCTTGATGTATGCAGACGACACGGTCCTATATGCATGTGGGAAAGACCCTGAACAAGTAGCTGCCAAACTGTCATTAGCAATGGAACAAGTCATAGAATGGTTACGTTATTCATACGTTACGTTAATACTGACAAAACTGTGGTCATGTATTTTGTAAATAAACACAAAAATATGTTTTTTCCAAATATTATTGTAGGTGGGCAAATGATAAAAAAGGTCGATGAGTTGGGTTGATACTTGATACTTGGGTGTTACACTAGACCACAACCTTACTTTTAAAAGTCATATTAAAAAGATGTGCCATAAAGTTAAATATAACATAGCCAACTTTAGACATATCAGGAACTCACTTACAGTCGAAGCGTCTAAAATGTATTTGAATGCTATGATTTTTTCTTACTTTCATTACTGTATATCATGTTGGTCCCAAGCAAACAAGACTGTCTTAAAACCCATAAGGTCACTTCATAAACAAGCCCTTAAAACTCTGGACAGGAAACCACAACAGTATCATCATTGTGATATTCTTGATAAATATAAAATTCTGAGCTTTGACCATTTAATTTTTATACCGATGTCCGCTTAGTGTACAAAATAATCCATGATGCTGCTCCCCCACCATTGAAAAGCTTTGTGAAACTTCGCTCTGAGCTGATAAGCAGATCTTCAACGTCTGCCTCTAATGGAGATTGCAGTGTTCCTAAACGTGGCTCCGCTTTAGCACAATCAGTTTTTTCTTTTAAAGCCGTTAAGGAATGGAATAGTCTTCCAACTAGTCTTAAACTTTGCACAAACTTCTGCACTTTCACCCGGGAAGTCAAAAAATGGATTTTAAGGAACCAGCCTTGTCAGCATTAATGTGTCATCTCGACAACCTTTTAGATCTCTCAGGGAAACTATAATGTTTTAATATCTGTAAATTGTTCTATGTCTTTCTTCTCTCGTGTGCGTGCGTGTGTGCGTGCGTGCGTGTGTGTCTGGTTGATTTGTATTTTGCTGTTGCCATCATCTGCCCAGGGACAACAGATGGAACTTAGCTAGCTAGCTAAATCTGGTACAAAGCATCTCTTCTCTTCTGAGACTAATGTTTTTTTTTGTACACTGACCCTGATTCAAATAAACGGTTAAATAAATAATGCACTGTTATCACAAAGCTGGATAATGTGCTCATTTTCAGTTAATAGAATAAGTACACATCACATTATTTACTGTCTCCAGCATTTTATCTTGCCCGTGTTATTACATTTAACATGAACAGCAACACTATTGAACAGTTCTCTTTTTGAAATGTAATGTGAATTGGATAGCAGCTTGAAATGTCTTACAATACAAAATCCCTCAGTCAACTAATGCTGCATGATATTGGGGAAACTGCGTTTTCTTTTCATGTTCATACTATTACAATTTTTATTATTATTTGGGTCTTCAAGTTTATTTTCTTTTACAAATAAGAACCCCTTATACATTCAAAGCTACATTTAATTTGCATCAAGAGCCCTGTGACATTAACTTCTAAGCAAAGAACAGTTCATCTTCATACACTGCATGTGATCCCTTCTCTCTCTCTCCCTCTACACTTTATGTGCTCATGGACTAACACACGTCCTGGATATTACCATGGCACTTGTACACATAGCAAAATAATGCTTAGATCATACCATGCAGCCCTACAGTCAAACGCATTTACACTAAGTTGGTGCAGTTTTTTGAGTGAATGTGAATTGAATTCCAAGTTGCTTACATTGTCAACTTAAAATGCAAAAAAACTTGAATCTATATCCTTTTCCACTGTTGTAATTTTTTTCTGATTCCTTGTCAAGAGCCGGATTTCTGGCTGGAAAGAAGGATTGGCTCAACCCTCCCTGACGAGGAAGAAAACAACCTGAAACCAGAGGACTTTGAAATCCTGGTGAGTTTTTTTTACTTTCTTTCGTCTCACTTTTTTTGTAAAATCTTCAGTTTTGCTGATTCTTTGATTTGTAAGATGTTGCAGAATTTGTTATGGCACACATTTTACTCTCGACCTTCTTTTTAGGTCATTAACATGGACTACGGCATGAAAGACGAGAACAGCAAAATGTCAGAACTAATTATTGATTAAAACAATTTTTTTATCGCAATCATTCAATATTTCTTCTGTTTATTATTTGTAAGGCAGCTTATGTCACCATAACTCTCAAATTAAAGCTGCTGTCATTCTTTACAGGCATCCAGGATTGGCACAACGTGCTTTTCTGAGCAGCTGATCAGGGTCTTCTGTAAGAAGACTGATAGAAAGAGTGTGAAGGCTGCAAAAAGCACTTTGAACAGTGGTACAATGATTTTCCAATCCTTAGATAATAGTTGAATATTAAGATGTTAAAGGATACAATATGAACTAACTTGCTGTTGATTAAACATAAAACCAGTTGACTTGGCTGAAGTAAATAGAAAACAGTCCACATTGAGTACAGTTTATTTAATATGGTTGAACATGTGATCTACAATCTGCTGAGTGTGGAAAACATTAGCTGTGCTAGCATCCTCAGCCTTCGGTCTTCCTTTCAGGTTAACGTATGCTTACCTGTGCTGGTGAAGCTCTACTCTAATAGATTTGATACTTTAACTTAACAAAATACTGCCAAAGTGAGCAACACTCCAACATGTTATTGGTCCTTTGTCCTGGTTTGCATCCAGGTTAGACAGCAAGTCTAGACAGTCAGTCAGTTTCTGTACTGA